TAAAATTAATTTTTGTATTAAAGTTATAAACAAGCTATTTAATTGATTTTGCATCCTTTCCAATTTATTTTTTTTAGCAATACATACATTCAGTCTATAATTTTAAATAAAAGTAATCCTGTTAACCTCAGACACCGAAAATAATAACACAATAAAACTGAGTTTTGACATGTTCGCCGTTATTAAAGTTATTAATTCCATTTCGCTCAGAAGAGAACATTATATTTTGCATTTTCAGGACCTGTGTAAATTTTTATTCAAACTTTTTTTTTTCTATTATTATTGTTTTTTTTTTTTTTTTCTAATTATTAAGATTATCACTACCTAATTAATAGCATTAAAACTGTCAAATTATTTAATTATTACCAAGTAATTATTACTAACTAAAATAACAGTATATTATTATTACTAACTAATATAACAGTATTTAACTAAGGTTAATACCATTTATTCGACATCGAAAATTTTATAGTTTTTAACACAGATTATTAATGAAGTTTTGTAACATCCATCGGAAAATAACATGGTTTCATCAGCAATTGAACCAGATCATTTTCTGAATTCTTTTTTCCCTTTTGATTGTCAGCCGCTAAAAAAATGGTTCTATTTTTAAAGACTGACTTGACTTACAGTGTTACTTACCGTGCTTACCCTTTTACCATGTGGTTACCACGTTATGAGGTCATGGGTTGTAGCATCTAGATACAAAATCATTTGTTAATGTTGATGTTGAAATCCAAAAGATAGCATGGGTAAACCCTAATTGTGACTTATTCAGGTCTAACGTACATAGTCATTGAGTAAACATTTATCGTTGATAGCTTACGTCCATGCGCTGGACAATATATTATAAAAATTACTTGAATTGGATGCGTTATATATTATCACAAAAATTAAATTGGTCGAATTTATTGTTATTATGCCGTTGGCATAAAAAAGAATCAAAAACTAATTATTATGGTGAAACATTTTGTAAATATAACTTTAATACTCTCTGTATTGCAGCAAATATATCTCTTAAAAATACATTCGTTAGAGTGTAAAAGTAAAAACTCAACTTTGACTTGCAAAGCCAAACAGCTTATTACAACTGAAATGTTCCTTTTGCAGTTAGTTTAGATTAAACTTACAATGTTATAAAAGATTTCAAATTTGGGTTGATTTTAAATATAGAATGCAATATACCTATGTACAAATAATGTAATATTAATTTTTTTTTGTGATTATTTTTTAATGTTTGGTAAATTAGCTGGTAAACTGCATTCAGATGAAATTTTATTCTTGTATATTTTTTAATAGATATACAATTTTTTTATTCGTATTGTATATATTTACAGAGAACACATCAACTAAAAACTTGTTTTGTTTTGCAAGCGAGACTAGAGATTTATGACGTCTCTTGGATAAATCTTTTAAATATAGCGTTCTATATTTTTAGATCATTATTTAAGCGTAATCTAAATTTTATTGATACTTTTGATATACTTTGTTTACATATTTTCCTACTTTATTATTCATAATAATAAAATCAGTAATGTCCATTTTTTCCCCTCATTTTCGTCATCATATTGTATATTGCATGACATTTGTATTAACAATTACGTAAAAGAACCACAAACCGGGCAGTTATATATACCGGACATATACCGGAAGATATTTGCAAATTTTAAAGGAGATTTTAAGCTTTCAGTGTGTGGAAAATCAAAAAATATATATTAAAATGGTTGCTATAATAATATATTTAAGTTCAAACAAGCACTAACTCAAAAACTTAAACTTTTTGTATAAATTAGGTTCTTACCATGAAAGTTAAAAAAAAAAAAAATTAAAAACACAGAAAGAAGTTCAAAAATAGTTTTAGATTGTTTTAACTCGGTTAAAATGTTATAAAGGAAACAAGATTTTCAGTAGCTTTCATCTTAAACCAGAGAAAATAAATCTTTCTTGTAATCAATTAAAATGGCATAAGTTAATCGTTGTTTATTTTTCATGCTAAAATAAACTTTTTTATTATTTGCAAATGATTTTTTTGTTTTTTTAAACTAATTGAATAAATTTAGTTTCGTTTTTTGTTTTTTTTATTTGTGTTAAATAATTTTAAGCTCTTGCCCCTTTACTGTTGAAAAAAAAGAGCTAAAGTACAGTAAGTAACACAAAGTACCATTTAAAAACGAATAGCGCGTATTTAAAAAAAAAAAAAAAATATATATATATATATATATATATATATATATATATATATATTTACAAAATCATTACGATACCATGATGGTTTTTTAAATTTTTAAAACAAAACTATTTTGTCTTCAGGCCCGTAGCAACCGGGGAGAGGGAGGTGGGGTCATAGAGGTCCGAGGTTCGACGCCAGCTCTAGCCCAACAAGTGACATTGGTACGGAAGGATGCGTGAACTTCCTGTCAAATGCTCTCCCGCGGTGCTCTATAATAAGACCGTAAGGACTTCTGGGAGCACCTAAATACATACAAAAAAAAAAAAGAAAAAAAAAAATATGACATGCTTACTGATATATTATATACGAGATTTATTTCCTATGATAAAGCAATTTGCAAGTATGTATCAGTTAAGTGCAGAAGAGAACAATTGTTTGAATTAGTTGTTGTTATAATTACTTATAATTATGATAAGCTCTTTATGTAAATTTTATTTTTTAGTTTTAATAGAACTTGATTTTTAAGTCTGTCGCTTCATTTGTTCACAAAAACATCAGGCTATTTAGAAAATTTAGATATTTAGAAAATTTAGCTTCTGGGGTTCTAGAGTAGGGCCCGAAAAATTCGATCAACCTAGATCCCCCAAAACCACGATCCACCACTGTTTAAACCAGATTTCTGAAAGAAGATACAGTGAGTCTTGTGGTCAGAACCTTAAATAAAGTACAACATTAGAAACTTAGAAATGAAATGTAAACATAAAAATATAAATTAGCAACATACGATAATCAGAAGTAACTTGATTTGTTAACCGTAGATAAATTAAAATTAAAAAAAAAAAACTTTAAAATTTTAAAAAATTTTAAAGTTCGGATAAGGAACTGATCGTTAGTTAAGTAAAAAAAAGGAGGAGGTTGCTCTCCGCACAAGGGTGTAAAAACAAGTAAATTAGGACGGCAAATTTTGTAACTTTGTAATTAAAAATATTGAAAGTATTTGTAATTGTAATTGAAAATATTGAAAGTAACTGTAAGTTTTGAAAAAAATAATAAATATCTGAACTCCACAAAGAAATTAGACTTTGAAGGTGAAATGTGAAATAAAATTAATTTAAATTAATTCTATTTAACATTTATTTTCATTAAATATTTATTTAAAAATTTTTCATTAAATATTTATTTAAAAATTTTTTAAAATTTTTTTTACGAACTTTTTAAAACATAATTTCAAAGTTAATAAATATTTTTTTTTATTCGCTTTTTCATTTTTGTTAAAATTTTATATTACGTTTAACTTTTTGAAAAACTTTTCGTAATCCAAGAAAATAGCATCGTATTTAAGATAAAATGTAATGGAAAAAGTGTACAAAATGTCATTAAGGTTTTCATTAAAGTTTAAATGCTCTAAAAAAAGAAGCATAATTCTTTTTTTAAATTCTTTCTTATTAAAATAAAAATAAATAAAAAATTGTATTACTCTATAGCTTTCATTTCATCATCAGAATTCGTGCTAAGCTTTAGAAATAATGAACTGACGCATTCGCTTTTAGGATATTTTTTAAAAGTCTTAGTTAGAGGTGTCATTTGAAATAGTATTCTCAAAATCAGAAATGTTTTAATTGTAACTCTAAGAGAGGAATAACTGCATCTAATTGCACGCTGCAATTAATTAACGCAGACTGTTAGACTCCATACAATAGTTATAAATATTTTTTCTATTTTGTTATTATAAATATTTTTATTTTGTTGTTGCTTTTGTTCTATTTTATTATCTCTATAGCTCTGTAAGCTAATTCTGTTTAAAAATATGTTGTTGTTTTTTCTTGTACAATTCTTATACATAAAAGAACGTTGATTATAATCTTTATACACCTTTTAGTTTTCCATATTTTTATGTATATAACAAATTTAGATAAAACAACGTAACAATTGTTACTGTTGCATATATCTTGCCATATTGCCTTTTTTTGCAAAACTATAAACTTAAATGTGCAAACGAAGTGTGTATTTAAAAAAATAAATATTGAAATTTATTTTTTCATCTTCTTTATATATCAATAAACTAGAACAGAATTTTATAAAAAAATTTTATGCTAAATCTTATTCGGTTCTTTTTATGAAGCGTTCTATTGTTTTTTTTGTTAGCGTAATTACGAATACGCATAGCGACGAAAATGAAGTTCTTGTATTGTGGTAAAAAAAGCATAACAAAACAAGTTTATTTTCTTGTTTCTAGTTGCCAATCAATAATTAAATTCGGCAATCCAACTCATGTAGAAATTTTTAAGCAACGTTAAACCTTTAAATGTTTGTTGCGCGGAATGGTTTCTTCTTTCAGTCGGTTAAAATTCGGTAAGAAAACATTTTGTATAAAATTTCTATATTAATTAAGCAAACTAACAAATTAGCATTCAATTTTTTTATTATTCGCTATTTTTATTTCGGTAAAAAACAAAAGAATTTTTTTATATAGCAATTCAACAAGCAGTTCTGCTAAAGAAGCATCAAAGCGCTAAAAGAAAATAATCCGACAAAGAAAAACGCCCATTATAATTTTTTGCGGATATTTTTAAAATTTAAGAACACTTCAATTAATAATGTAATAAAAATAGATACAAACAACGTAAATGTTTTAGTAAGAAATATTTTAAGGATGTTAAACAAACAAATTGGATACGTTTTTTAAAGGTTGACAAATGTGGTGAAAAACACTTTCAATCGTGTTTACTTATTATGTCAAAACCAATAACGGAATAAAAAAAGTTAAAATTAACAAAGCAGTTATTTGATTAACTTGTTGTCAATCATAGTATGTTAAAGTCGAGCTATGTAATAGGATTGTTTGTAAGCCGTTATCTGAACAAATATGTTTGTACAGAATATCTTTTCAGTATGATATAACGAAAAAAATTAGCTTTATTAAGGTTTGTTTGCATCAAGCTAAGCTATAAAGCATTTTTTCAAATACTTGTAAGTCACTGTTTGTTAATAGCATCTAATAAACTTGGGTTTTTTGGTTATTATTCTCATTGATGGTCTCAATTACACGCTTATAGAGTTTATTAGCATATTTTATGTCATTGTATGTAACAAATTAGGTGATGGACGGTATATGATGAAATTCGATAATTATTGACTTATGTGGTTTTTATAAATATAATATGATTTTGACGTCATAGCAAATGACGTCAAAAACTTACTTTTAATAAGTTTTTTAATTTTTAATTAATTGAAGTTTTTTCAAGAACTTTATAGCTTTGCATCAATAACTGAAGAGAATTGTGGGGGTACAATTGCTTTTTCATTTTATTAGAAAAAAAAAAAAATTTTGAATTGGAAGTAAGGCGTGTAAAATTTGCTAAAAGAAAATTTCACATAATTAGTATAATTATCAATAATTGAATCATGATTAATAAGCGTATCATAAAGTAAATTTTCACTTTTGTATTCTTAACAAGTTAAGTCAAACTACCTGAAGTAACTTTTTTAAAAACTTCTGTTATAACATAAAATTGTTAACAATATTGACAAATTTATTTGCTTTTAAGTAAATTCTAAATGAAATAATAAATGTCGATGCTTTGTTATTAATTGGAAAATCCCTAATTTAGACGATAGACGCAGTATTAGTTTGCAACTAGGCAAAAAGTAACTTCACCATACCTGAATATATGGAAACAACTTTTTTTTCTTTGCTGTGAAGGAATGAGAAAGGCCTTTTTAGCTTGGCATATAACAAAATTTAAGTTCTTCGTATTTTGTTAGTTTATCCAAATTTGTAATTTAATATTGATTTTTATTTAATGTTATTGTGCTTTGTATTTTCCCCTAATGTTCAATTCCATGCTTTTGATTTTCTTTTTATAGGGGGTCTGCATGAGTTTATAAAGAGTTAAAAGAATTAAAAATATTAAGTTTTCTTTATTTTTTTTAATTGTAAATTATTCATTTTGTTTATTGGTTGAGTTTTAAGTGAAATTTTACTGGAAAAATAATGCGGAATAGACTAGTTTAGTTTTATATAAAGAAAAATAAATAATATTATTTATACGCTATCTAGTTAAAATGCAGTTATGTCAAAATTTTTCTCGATAATTTAATTAAATCAAAAAAGTCAACATTTTTTATTCTCTATTAAATAAATTATCGTTGGCAGCTTGTAAAAATAAAGTTACGAATCGTCTAAACTTCGAGCTGTGAAAAGATAAAGTTAGTATTAATTTTCCAAGCTCTGGTGAATAAAAAAAAAGGGTTGGACGCTTAAAGAGATTAGACGCAGAGATTAAAGGATTAATTAAAACGAAGTAATAAGGCAATAAACAATGTTCCCCTTTTTAAAGTTTTAAGCTTTATGTATTTCAAATTTTAGAAATGCGTTTCATAAAAAAAAAAAAAAATTACTTTAAGTTGGCATTAGTTTTTTTGCTTTTTATTTTATGTTATGCCCCCTCTACCTCCTTCAAATATTCTCATTATACAAATCCTGTAAACTATTAAAATAAAGAATTGAAAGTTATGGGCATTACGATTGGTAAGTTTTAAAGTTTAAATTTTGTTTGTAATCAAAATAACTCTTGTTATAAGTACTGCTTAGTTATAGGTCTACATAATTATTATCCATTATATTTAACTATTATTGGGTTTTGATTATTATTTAGTTATTGGATTTAAATTTATTGACTAGTTAACTGATTTGAATTTACTTTGTAAGGGGACTAACGCTAAATTTTATAATCCCAAGACATTAGGTTCATAAAATATGAATAAATTTGGATTTTTTCAAAGCAACCTAAAAAACGCGACAAATTTTGAGATCCTGGCATCGCATTGCTTATATGTGAACGCACATTGCATTTTTCTTATGAGTTTTCAAAGTATTTAATGAACAGTGAGCAAATCAGTTCAATTGATCAAAAAGTTATTTCTGACATAATTTATTGTTAATATTATATCAAGTACTGTCATATATAATATATCAATTAGTTCAATATACAACAAGTAATATAAAAATTAAATATAGCTACGCTTTGACATATGACGTGAAACTTTTAGAAGCGTCCATTTTAGAATTATACTTTAACATCTGCTTCAAAAGTATTCCAGTTTTTCCGTGTTTTTCGAAGTATGCAAAAGACATGAAGGAAAAATGTTTAATAAGTTATCAAAACAATGCATAGTTAACTTTTTTTTAAGTACATCTTTTGTTTAAAGTGAAAGTTTAACTAGGTAAAAGTGTTATGATTGTAAAAAAAACCAAATGATCAATGTAAACGAACCTGCTAAAAACAGTTTTCACATCAAAAATTCATTAACCAATATAAATGCTATCAAATGAAAATATCACGCTAAAAAGATTATTTATAGATTCGATATGTAATAATTGATATTTAAAAATCTCCTTCTTGTTTAAAAAAGTTGCACCAATTATGCATACATTCTTAATCCCCTCATATTATAAGGGGTTCAAACTTTATATCCTATATTATAATGACTAAAAGATTATGTTAAAGTTGGAAAAATAATAGTTTTTATTTCTTTTAAATTTTTATTTTTTCAATCTGGTTACTGATATGACCATGGATTCATGGTTTTAACTTTTCTTAACTTGGCACTGATTAAATTAGATTTTTGTTTTTCATTATTTTTATCTAATGGTAATATATATTTTATTTCGTTACAAATTATTTGCTTTTTAATGATTTGAAAGTCTATCCAGCTTCATTAATTTTTGTTTAGATTCATTATAAAGGACGATTAAAACAGGTCTTAATCGTTTTTTTTTCGACAGAATTATTTTGATAAAACTTATTTTAAAAAAAGGCACATTATTTATTATTAAAGGCAATTTTATTAAAGGTAACTTTAATAAAAGCAAATTGTTTTTGTGCACTTAAAAAACAATGATCTTGCTTTTTTATTTTGTCTAAATACGTTTTGCACGATTTTATATCATGCTGACTCTTGCTTTGGACTTAATCTTCAGATATACAAACATTAATTACGGAGTTTATCATTAACGATTCTATTTGCTGCCGAGCTTTTTTTATTATTTTCTAATTATATTACTTAGAAATATTTAGGTGTTTTATAATTTCACCGTTAATTAAGTTTGTTTTATGCATGCAGATGGCTTCAAACTTTCACTGAGATGAATGAAAAGCAAGATTTCAAGTAAAATAAGCAAAAAGTTACTTTTGATTATTTATTATTAACTAACATTTGTTAAATGTCTACTTAGTATACTGAAATATTTAATATTTACTACGGGCTATTATACGTGGATGGCAATATTAATCACCATCATTAATCATAAGAGTTAAAACGCATTTGAAATTTATTTCTAAAAAGTTGATAGGTTTTAATTGTTCATTACTTTATACAAACACCGATTTCACAGACTGGTGCGGTAGACTCATCTTTCTGTTTGTTTTTTATTTTATTTATTTATTTTTTATCTAAAATTTAAATTATCAAAGTTTAAACTCGATGTAGGTGTGTGTATAGTTTAGGAAATAATTTATTAAATATTAAATTAGTAATTTAAACCTAAAAACACGCGTGGGAATGGCGTAAAACTTAATAAAATTTAATTACAAACTATTTATAACGTCACAAGCCGAACTAATTGGCATACGAGACCGACGACACGGATTTCGAAATGGATGGGCACCATCGTAAACATCTAAAAAAAGTTCTATATATCTAGAAACAGAAAAAAAAAAGTTCTTTATAAAAAGAATTGGGTTTTTGCACCTCGCCTAACCCCCCTCCCCCGCCTCTCCGGGACGTGCCTATCAATGTCATGTTTTAACCACTTCACGGCCTTCATCTTTTTATAAAACAAAGTATTTATGCCTTTATGTATTAATGAATTATAAAAAATAATATATGAATAATTAGGTCGTGATCGTGATATGTTCGATCTCTCCATAAAAAAAAAAAAAAAAAAAAAAGCGGGTCGAACTCCAAGACTTTTGAAAGTGTTCTTCACGCGATTTGTGGATGATTTTTCCAGTATTGTATAACATCAGGGCCGACGACACCGAGGCTGCCCCCCCCCACTTTTTTCTTAAGGACTTTTTTTTTTTTTTCAAGAAAATTCTATATATAGCTTTTTTTAAGAATTGACGATGGTGCCCCCCCCCCACTTCGAAACCCGTGTCGTCGGCCCTAAACATTCAATCTAACTGTAATAAGAATGTCAAAGTATTAAAAGTTTACAACCGGAAATTATTTGTCAAACTTTTTTTTTTAATTAATTAAAAACTTGATTTATATAATTTATTTTTTGCCGTTTAAAAAAAAAAAAACGAGGAGGTTTTTAAAGTTATTTCTGTTCAGTTATATAATTTAACATTCGGTTTTTTAATAATAAAAAAGTATTTTATTATTTTAAAAGATCTTTATAGATTAAAAAGTATATAAGTATATTTTAAAACACTTTACTGATTGTCATAGCTCAACTTTTCTTATTTCTTATTCAACGATATTCAATATTTCACGGTTGTTTGCACAGTTAGTTTTTGGGCAGGGGGTGTTTCCGTTTTCGGTAAATAAGGGAAGAAATATTTCCTATTATATTTTAACAGACTTGACGTTTGATGAATTTTATTGTTGCTTTTATGATACTTTTGTCTTTTCTTTAGTTACTGATTTGGAAATTTAAACTGATTTTTACTTCCAAAGTTAACTAAGCCGTTTTGATATGCATGTTGTTTCAAAACTATTCTGGCAAAAAGTCATGTAGAAAATTGTTTAATGAAAATCGTTGTTTTAAACTTATATGGCTACCTGCTCGTGTTAGTTTGTTTTGTATTTTCAATAGTATTATTCTAGCTGCATTTACTAATGAAGTACCATTCAGCATTAATTTCAATGATATATGTTATAAAGAGTGTAACAGTTCAGACTCGTCCAACAAATCTATAGTTTTTTCTATGAATGAACTAAAAAGTATTACTCTGACATTTTGCAATCAAACTCCAGGAATGTTTATTATGCCAGCAACCACTAATGAAAGCAATATTGTTACATTCTTGCATGAAAATACATCTATTAGAGTTTCTAAATCTATCACCTGTAATGAGCTAAAGTCCAGACTTAAAATAGATGCTGGTTTTGAAAAATCATATGAAGATTACCAAGATATCCTTAATAGAACAATAGATTGTGGCAAAAGTTCTGATAAATGCTCTACATGTTTGGTTAGACTTTATATTTTTATTTTTTACATTCAACTTTTTAAAGATAGTTTTCGAATCTAAAAACATTTAAATAATTTAAATTAATATATTTGGATAATTAGTATTTGAAAATAAGTATACATACATACATGCACACACACATACATGCATACATACATACATACATACATACATACATACATACATACATACATACATACATACATACATACATACATACATACATACATACATACATATGCAGAGTTAAAACAAACTGATAATGTCATACTGAAATAGGTAGTTGTGGGGTTTTAGAAAATGCATGGACTGACTAGAACATGCAAGAAAGTACCATTATATTAGCATAATTTTTTAAAAACACTATCAGCAATATTCTAAAAAAAAGTTCACCAAAAAGTGGTCCAACTAGATCTCTAACAAAGCAAAGTTATTTAAAATCTCAAAAGTAACAATATTTTGTTACTTTTTTAAAAATATATTAGGGAACTGTTAAGTCTTCAAGGATTTTAAGCATCCTTCCAAAAAAAAAATTTATTTAAAAGATTTTTAATTTGTTATTTTATTATATAAAACACATTAGGCTCATCTACAAATTAGGTCAATAAATGAGGAAGGGAGGGGGATGGTTATAAAATTTGAGGGTTTAATACTTTTGTGATGGTTTGTTACAGTGAAGAAAGTGTTATCGGATTTTGTGGCACAACAGATTTTTTTTTAAGTTTTAAAACTAAAAAACTTTTCTTTAAATTAAAAGAGTGTCTAGCCAAACAAATCCTCAGTTGATGTATGTACATTCCGCTACAGCTATTCCAATTTAAGTCAGTTGATGAATATATATTATCATCAGTGAAAAAATAATAATATGATTATTAAATTACTAAATAAAAGTTTATTAAATATAAATTATTATAATAGCAACTATTATTAAACAACAGTATTACTTAACAGCATGAAACATATACTTTAAAAGTCAAACATAAAATATTACAAAAATTAGATATCATGAAAAAATAATATGTTTATTAAATTATTAGATAAAAATTTATTAAATATAAATTATTATAATAACAGCTATTATTAAACAAGAATATCACTTAACGACATGAAACATATACTTTAAAAGTCAAATATAAAATATTACAAAAATTAGATATTGCAAAAATTAGATATCATGAAAAAATAATATGATTATTAAATTATTAGATAAAAATTTATTAAATATAAATTATTATTATTATAACAATTATTATTAAACAACAATATTACTTAACGGCATGAAACATACTTTTTTGTGGTTTATTGCTAATTTGTTTTAAAATTTTGATTTTAATTTTCTATTTTGTTATATATTTTACATTTGCATTTACAAAAAGTATTCACAAATGTTTCCCTACAAACCTGTTTGGTACCTGGTATTTAAGGATTCACTATTTTAGTTGTAAGCTAAAAAACAGCATCTGAGAAGTTTCTCATCCTGTGAGATTATGGTTGAAGAAAAGCTAGAGATGGTGTATAAAAATACATATTTAGTAAATATCATAAAAATACATATCTAGCGTATTTAATACATTATATATGTTTTTTTATGACATATAACTCAACATTTTTGAAATTGTTTTAGGATACTAAGACAAATGCTAACAATTTACTGGATTTACTAGAACAATTGGGGTATCAAGTGCTTTTTAATCTTTTTTTAGCAACTATAGCAAAAAGAAACTTTTACAAAAAAGCAAAGAAAAAAGGTTGAGTTAAAAAGGTTTAAGAGACTGGTACTAAAGTGTCAATTTTAAGAGAAGGTCAAATCAAAAGATATTATAAAAAGGCATTTGCATAGTTGTTAATTGCTAATGTGTGGATTCAACTCTTGCTATAAAAAGCATGTTTTCATTTATTAAATTGAAAATGAAACTGTTTGAAATGAATTATTTTTTTTTTAATTTGGAAAATTTTTCAAAATACTTTTCCAATAGAATGGCAATTTAAAAATATTTCAAAAAACATATTAATAATTTAGAATAAATACAAAGAATGGCTATGCACACAGTTTCCGTTTTCTATAGAGAATGGCAGAAAACCTGAATACTATGAAGAAAATCATGTTTGTCTTGAATGCCCTAGCACAGAAGCTGATAATGATTTTTCATTTGGTGGTTATGTACTATTTACTTGTCAAGTTGATAGAGGTAAAAAAAGTATCCCATAATTATTTTTTAATTTACTTTTTTTTTTTTATTTAGTTTGTTTCTTTATTAGATTAAATTTATTTGAGCTGCTATATTTTAATAAACATTAAACAAAATATTGTTTATTAAAGGTAAATAAACTAGCAAACAATAACAAAAAGTGATGATTCAAAAAAAGTAATGCTTTTTTTTTTTAAATAACTTTGAACATTTTTTAACTAAAGTTTTGTACATTACAACTGTTGTAACTTGGTTGTATGTGCAAAGTGCTATGTGCCACCCAAAAAAAAAATCTTTCATGAAAATTTGTTTGTAAGAAACAAGTTATAATCTTATTCTATTAGATTGTTGTTTAGGTCAGATAGGTGTTTTACTATTCTTTATTTATAAAATTAAACAGCTTTTATAGTGGTTCCACTGGCTCTACACCTCTTATTTTCAGAGGAGAGGTATCAAATGATTTTGATATGTTCATGAATTCTAACTTGTCTTTTAAAAATATAAAGAAATAAAAAATAAAAAAGTTGGAAAATATGAAGTTTCTTAGTTTTTGAATTTAATTCACAATATTTATTTTTTAATCAATTACTATAGATATCTAAAAAAATTCTCAAGCCTGAGAATGATTACTTAGTTTTTAGCTTTACAGAGTTGTGCCTATTCTATTTTACATAAATTAACGCAAAATATTGGGTGTATTTCATTGCATATCTTTTTTAATATTCTCTGCATGCATGAATGTCTGAATGCTGAATGGATTTAACCAGATATTGATAATTTCCTAAAAAATTTGATTTCTTATCAACAATGGAGGACATAACTACATTAAAATGTTAACATAAATTTTGCAAATCTTTTCTTCAAACATTCAATGCATGGCAGCAAAAGAATTAAGTTTTTATTTATACAACAACTTTTTAGTCTACATAGCTTTCTTTAATGTTGGCTTTCATTAAGTCATTAAAGGTGACATGAGTCATTAAGATGGACATGAGTCATTAAAGGTGACATGAGTCATTTAGAGTGACATAAGTCATAAGTTTTTCAATTGCTAGTAAGCTTGAAATTTTTACATCTTTTTGTCAGAATATATATGGGCAATTTTGTGAGAGTAGCGGTTGTAACATTTGACACTCTTTAAGCTATTAAAAATGAACTGAAAATGGAAACAACTTGAAACTTTCTAGAAATGTGAAGTACTATCATATAATTTAGTATGTAAAAGTTACAGCATTATAGTCTTCAATTTTTTTCAAAAGTTAACTCTATGTAGCGTGACAGTCGTAATGCTTACTTTTTACCATTTCTGAACAAAACAACTGTCAGACCTAATGCATGGAACAGCATGGTAAAAAAAATCATTAAGTGTGTGTACTTTGCACATATTGATGTTATTATATTATGAGTTTCATAGTTTTTTACTTGGAGTTTTAGAAGCATTTTTATGTGGTTAACTTTAAAACTATGCTATGGTATGATAAAAAGATTTTTTTTAATAACCTTTTTTTAATTAAAAGTATTTTTAAATAGTTAAAAAAAGAGTTATGGAGTTTAGTATTTGTTTTCATAACTTTTTTCTTTTTTTTTACCTCTTTCTCGCAGAATTGCCCATATATATTTTTTTTCCACTTGAAAATTCTCTTGATTTTTTTATTAAATTTTTACTAAATTTTAAAGTAATTTATAAGATTTAGATATTTTTGTCTTTTATCTATTATATCTTGACATTTGCATACTCAGATATCAATTATGTAAACAGTGCCATTCTTATCCACGGCCAACAGTTGCCTAGGGGCCAATACCATTTGCCAAGACTTTAAACAAGACTTTAAATGTATATATATATATATATATATATATATATATATATATATATATATATATATATATATATATATATATATATATATATTTTAACATCTTTGCTTCCAACAAGGCTGCAAGCAACCACTAATTAGTGTTAGAAGTTACTGGAAGAGAAAAGATGAAGATTGTAAAGCAAGATAATGATTGACAGCAACTTAAAAGATTGCAAATTATATGAATCAGGAAAGCAAGATGAAGGAAGCGAATTCTAGAGAACTGATGTTCGAGGTTCGAAGATAAGACTTAATTGAATGACAGGTAACACGAGAATGATATTTAGTAGAAAGCACAAGAGAGGCTAGCTCTTAAGAGCAGTGTCCATTATATTTTTGTCGATCGTATTTATAGAAAAGAGAAAGAGAAGCAACATTACGATGATGTGATAATGGTTAAAGGTTGGCTGCAAGAGCAAGTCCAACTATGTTTACAATGCGTTTTTGCACCTTGTCTAAAAGAGAAAGGGCATCATTGGAAGATCCGTTCCAGATATGTCAACAGTATTCCATACAAGGCTGGATTTGTGATTTATTGAGATAGTGAATAGAATCCAGAGTAAGAAAGTTCCGAGCTCGATAAAGAGATGTAACTATAGCAGATGCTAATTTTGCAACAGATTTGATATATGGTTTCCAAGAAAGATCAAAAGTAAAAGTTAATCCTAGAAGATGAAGGGTACAGGACTCATCGAGTATATTACCGTTCATAAATATAGGAAGGTCTAAATTATTGCTATAATAATTGGCTGGAAAAAATTGAGTTTTATCTGAATTAAAATTCACCAGCCACTGTGAGCCCCATGCTGTAGCAAAATTGAGATTTTTTTCAAGCTCAAATGTCCACTGCAAGCAATCAGAGAGAGTTAGCTTCTTATTGTGACAAAAATAAATGGTAGTATCATCAGCGAACAATGCAACATTAGATGTGAGAATATCTGGAAGATTGTTAATGTAAATTAAAAAGAGTATAGGGCCGAGGATTGAACTTTGAGGAACCCCTGAGGTTACAGAATAATAAGAAGAGTGCTCTCCATCAAGGACAACTTTTATACTACAATTGGAAAGGAAGGATTCAATAATCTTAAAGATGTTTCCAGATACACCGTAAGAAGAAAGCTTATGGAGAAGACCAGCATGCCAAACTTTATCAAACACTTTAGAATTGTCAAGAGCGATGGCCTTAATCTCTCCACCTTTATCCGATAAAATCTATCGGTTATTACTGTTAGCAAATCTGCTGTAGAACAAGAAGATCAAAATCCATATTCATGATCAGAAAGTAAGTTGTTAGATTTAAGATGAGATATTAAGTGTTTGTTAGTTAAAGATTCAAAATCCTTGCTTATGATAGGAAGAATACTAAAGGAACGTTAATTAGACGAATCAGATCGCTCTGCAGAATTTTTAAAAATATGGATAACAGATGCTGCTTTCCAGCAGGCTGGAAAACAAGACTCTAATAAGCACTTGTTGAATAGTTTTGAAAGGATAGACGACAGCTCTGGAGAACACTTCTGCAAGACTTTAACAGGTATGTTGTCCGGGCCGCAAGCTGTAGAAGAGTCTAAGCAGGAAATCACTTTATATACAGAAGCTTGAGTGATACGAATGTCAAGCAATGAAACAACCTGTTTGACTACTATATCAGGTAAAACGCAACTAGTGGAATCAAGAGATGATATTGATGAAAAGTTCTTAGCAGATAATTCAGCTTTGTCTTTATGTGAGGTGACAAAGTCTGAACCATACAAAAAAGGTGGAATTACAGACTTGCCCTTATTATTAATACTATTAAAGATTCTCCTGATGTCACGAGAGCCTAATTTTTGTGATGAAATACGAGATTTCATGACCTGAGAATAGCGGGCTTTGGCGTTAGACAAAACCTTTTTACAATGGTTCCTAGCAGTAATAAACAAACGTCTGTTTTCTGGAAAATTGTTTTGTTGATAGATATGGAAGTAACGGTTTCAATTAGCAATTGCAACAGCACAATATGAGAAAAACCATGGAGAAGAGTGAGGCTTGATCTGGAATCGTCGAGAGGAAATGAAAGATTCCATGCCAGCCTGAATCCACAAAGTTATGTAAGAAGCACATTTATCAACAGGAAGACAAAAGATTTCCACCCAAGGCCATCATGAAGAAAATCACGGAAAGAGTCCCAGTCAGCTTTAAGGTAGTTGTAAGATGTACGATGATAGGGGGATTCTGTTGATAAAGAAGAATGAGATAATAGTTTTAGAGAGATCAAAATGTGATCAGAAGCACCTAAGGGTAAATGTAAAGAAACTGAGCACTGACTAGGATCAGAAACAAGACATAAGTCGAGTAGAGAAGGTAAATGATTAGGGTTATCTGGAAAGCGATTTGGAAAGTTGACTATTTGAGTTATGGATTGAGAAAGGCAAAAGTTGTGGGCCTTAATGCCTGCAATGTCACTGACACTAGAGCCAAGCCATTTAGTGTGATGAACATTAAAGTCACCAACAACAACAATATTTGCTGATGGATAAAGAGAGAATCTTGGTCAATATGATCAGAAATTACATTAAGAAGAATAAAGATGAAGGAGAGCGATATAGAACAAAGAGAAAGGGGATAGAGTGAAGTGGTGCTAAACAAAATCACATAAAAGAGTAGTTTATTGATTCAAACCTAGTTTCCCGAAAAATGGGTGAATTCCTACGAACTCTTATCTTAACTTTCAAAAGCAAAAACATTGCTTGTGGCAAGGCTACCATTATTCATATTAAAAGTAAATATTCTGCTCAATTCTAAAGAGTATGAGACAGAAGCAAAGAAGTTGTTAGAGGCAGATTACACTGCTGATCAGGAACATTTTAAAATAGTTTTAATAGATATTATAATAAATATAAGAAATATAATATAATATACAGATAAAGTTTTGTGTCAATGAAAATAATTTTTTATAATATAAATATTATGAATTTTTACTGCCATTTGAGTTTTTATAAGAGTATGTTCATAAAACTAAGCTTACTGCAAGTGATAACTTAATTTAAAAAAATAAAAAATCAGAATGTGAGGGGCCAACAGCACCTCCTAGCACAAATACCTCAAGAGACTAAAACCAGCCCTGACAGTAAAACCTTTGCAACTAACACTGTTATTATTGCATAATAATTAATCCATTAATCTTTTTAATAAAATACGCCAAATTAAAAGTTAGGAAATAACTAAAAGTGATAGATTAAACAAATTACTTCAATTGATGAGTCAAGGGTATAAATTGGAATAATTATTAATTATTATCAATATTTAGCTACTCAACCATAATGAATTTCTTAGGAGAGCTAGAGTATTTTAAAAACAAATATATATAGTTATACTTGTTTTCTTTTTTCTTCTTTTCTTTATCCACTTTTCATCTTATCTTATACAGTCTATTTGGATTGTACTATAAAAGTTTGAACATCAAAAATTTATTAAATTGTTTAATTGATTTTTCAGAGAAGCATGGTTTACTCTTTCTGCATCCCTTCACATCCAAAAAATGTAGAGCTCTAAATTTTGCTAACAAGGCATATACAAACCTCTGAAGTAAGGTTGGCATTTAGCCATCCTAAAATAACTGCCAACCTAAAAGTGTCCTAAGTTGGCAATTTTTTGCCAACCTTGTTTCTATGTTGTTATGGTAAAACCTTTGTGTTAAAAGTTTTATACTGTCCTTATGCTAATCAAAAATAGTATGAAGTTGGGAATTGATTGCCAATCTTTTTTTTAATTTTGAGGCTTGTATATATGTATGGCAACAAAATTGACACCTTCAAAGTATTTGATTTCTTCATCTATAATAATTAAAGTAATTTTTATTGTGCTTGATAAAACATTTTCTTTAAAAATCTGTAAGCTGGATGTTCTGTTAGCCTAATTTATATTGTTTGTTGATATAATCATCTATTAAGTAAAATAATAGTTAGGCAAAATAAAAATGCAAGTATAAATAACTTTATGATATTTTTAAAACTTCAAACTTAGCCAGCTCTATCAAATGTTGCTTTTGAATAAATTTTGATAATAGAAAATTTTTCCACTTAGTAGCATTTTTATCAAAATAATTACTTTTAATATTATCACACGCTCCATATACTTCTAGTACTTGATCTAAAATGTATCATATTGAGATTGTCTAGTACCATGATTAATAGCTGGAATCTTTTTCTAATTAATATATACATGAATAGTATATTATATTTATACAATAATAATAATATAAATATATATATATATATATATATATATATATATATATATATATATATATATATATATATATATATATATATATATATATATTAATAATATATTTCTAATTAATATCTTTCTTATTATATACTACAGCAATTATCTTTTTCTGGATATTTCTGGAATCCTAAATATTTCCTTAAAATTTAATTCTCCTGGGAACCAAATATTTTCCTTGAAATACAAGTATAAATACTTATTCTATGCTCAATTTAGTTAGGTTAGGCATTATTTGGACGCGCATACAACTAATTTTTTCTTATTTGTAGGCGTGTATATATTATAAATTGTTTGACTATTTCACCTAAAAATCTAGCGTCAATTTAATAATTTTTTTAATATAAATTAAATTAGTATTAAAATACTTTTCTTTTATATAAAAAAAGACTGCCAAAACCTAAGCACTTATATTTTGGGATACTTTTATATAAAAAAAGACTGCCAAAACCTAAGCACTTATATTTTGGGATATTTTTCAGAATGTTTCCTAAAAATATTTTTTCCGGATATTTTTATAAAAAATTTCCTGGATTTTTAAAATATGACCAAGAGTTTCTGTATACTAATTTTTTCCAACTGAAATCTCTGTGTTCTATATCTCCAACTGAATTTAAAACTATATCTATGCATACATACAAAATATAAAATAAATAGAGTTACTATTTAAGAAGTATTTTGCAGCCATGCCAATAACAACTACTCTGCCCACCTTGAAATAAATTATTTATTATAAAATTATTTTTGTTTAATCTTAAAAATTACAAAAAAATGATAAATTCCCAATTTATTTTAAATAGTTTTCTTTCTTTCAAGTTTATATAACGTTTTTCTTAAGGTCTAAAATGGATATAATAACCTTTGCAGCTCATAACTTTTAGATTAGTATTTGAAGTTTGAAATATACTAAATAATTTTATTCAAACTTGAAATTACTTTATCTTTCTATATTTTATATATCGAAAATAGATATAGATATTTTATCTATAGATAATTATTTTATCAGAGATAAAATAATTATCTACAATTATTTTATCTCCAATAAAATAATTATAGATATAATTATTTTTATCTAATTATAGATACAATAATTATATAATTATTTTATCTATAATTAGATGAAAATAATTTTATCTATAATTATTTTATTAGACCAAAATGAATTTTTTTTAAGATCTTATTTGACAAAATTATAAAAACATTACATAAAGTATTTTGTACACCTCGCAGAAATGATTTTTTGTGAGCATAAAATTTATTTTACACCATTTTCTAAAAATTTCGTAACTGAGTTTTAAATACCTACCATAAAATGTTTTGATTTTGTAATAAAACTTTTCCAACCTTTTATTATTGACAATCTATTATTTACTCTCTATGGCAACCTATTATTTACTCTTTATAGCAACCTAATATTTACTCTCTATGGCAACCTAATATTTATTCTCTATAGCAACCTATTATTTACTCTCTATGGCAACCTATTATTTATTCTCTATAGCAACCTATTATTTACTCTCTATGGCCACCTGTTATTTACTCTTTAAGTTTGATAAATATAAAAAAGTAAGTTGCTACTTAGTTACAGATTCTCATAATTTACAGTTTCATAATTTTTATTTTCTAGGGAAGGATGAGTTAAATTATGCTAACTACCTGAGAAGTGTGCATCAAAGTTTTGTTAGTTCAACAAATTAATATTTGTATATTTATTTTTGGGTACAAGGATTTGTATATTATCTATATATATATATAAAGTGTTGATGCCGAGTGATTTGGAGTTCCAAGCAAAAATTTTTGTTTGGCTTAATATATATATGACACACACATTCAAACAATATTTTCAAACGATACTTTTGATTGAAGTTGAAAAGATTGAAAAATATTTTTTTCTTTTTGATATATATATATATATATATATATATATATATATATATATATATATATATATATATATATATATATATATATATATATATATATATACATATATATATAAAATATGTAAATACTATCTGACATTGTAATTGAAAAGATTAAAAAAAACCTGCACTAAATTTAACAAGTTTTTAGTGTATTTTTAAATTGAAATTTAAAAGCAGCAGATAGTTGTGCACTTTTTAAAAAATTTATTTGCAATGTATTTATTATTTTTTATGGTTGTGTTTTTGTATACTTCTTACTTAAAATTCTGATCTCACGTTTTCTTTGAATATAGCATACGTAACTATTTTGTACAAGTACATTTTATAATAATTTATTTCTTAAAATTGTGTTTTTTTTCTTAATACTCCAACGCAGATTTGTCTTTTTTAACATTGCTTTGTTCAAAATTCTAGTCTTGTTGTCAAGGTAACTCAACTTTATTTGAAAGTTAAAAAAGTCAACAAACTCCATTTAGTAAATTTAAATTATCATCATAAAAATATTTCTAATATTCTTAGTGAAGCCTTTATTGAATTTTAAATAATAACCTTCTTATATAACTTTTTGTTATTAACTTGCTATAAATTTGTTGCATTTATCTATTTTATTGCAAGTTTATGAAAACTTTGTATTTTATCCTAAAAATGGTATCGAAGCAATTTATTACTTTCCAAAATCTGAAAATTATTTCGAAATATTTATTTTATTACATTAGTTCTTAATACTGCATCTAAATGAATATTTATAATAAAAAAAAAAATAAACTCCGAAAATGAGGATTAAAGAATTCTCAAAATCTCCCACTCCTTTTAAATACCCTCTTCATAATAGATTTTAATGGCTATATGTAGTCAAGGCCGGCGCAAAAGAGATGTACAGATAAAAACATCCCGCGTAACAAAGATACAATTGGGACAATTTTAGTTCGTGTTTTTATGGGGAAAAAAATCTTGCACAAGTGAGAAGTTAAGATCACGTAATATTTATTAATATATAATATTTTTTTATTAGTTTTTTTACTTTGTTTTAGGTGCCCCAATTAGATCTAATGGTCTCGTCACAGAGCACCACCGAAGAGCATTTAACTAGAAAGGCCTCGGCTCCTTCCTTAACGATGACTTGAAATATTTCCAGAACTCCAGAGCATTGGATCCTGGACATCTTGCTTCTAAAGCAAGCTGCGCCACGGCTGCATAAGTCTTAAAATAAATTGGCCCAATTTTACGAATAAAAATAAAGAGTTTATAAAAATCAATTTGACTTCCCTACGAACAGTAAAAAAAATACCTCTTTTAAACGTTTTTTAAATATCTTTTAAACGTTATTTACGTTAAAATGTTTAGAACACGTTTTTAAGATTTAAAAGACATAATGAACGTAATTTTTAAAAACAAATGTGTGCGGGGTTGCTAAAAACAAACTTATTAACTTTTCATTTTTAATTGACGCATTTGAAAGCTTGATAATATTGGATGTTCTACGAAACAAGCTTCATAGTCAACAAACGAAAAAAAAAAAAGTATTTTTTTTCGCAATTCAAATAAAGCATTAAGACAAAATATTAGGGCCTTAATTACATCTGGATTGGTTTTCATTTTCTGTTTATTGTTCGTTGTTTAAAGTTTTTGTGAAAAATTTTAACTACACCTTACCAAGATCCTGGTTTTTCATTGTTGAGATTACTTACCTAGGTGGTGCGAATGATTTAACATATGAACGCAATGTTAAAATTAAATGAGTTTGATAAAATAGGCGGGATCTTGGTTGTCTTTCTCTCCCAGGCAGGATGATTTTCAACCATATGAACAGCTCGTTAGAACAGCACAAAAATGTATTGAGCACGCTAAATAACTGTTTTGCAAAACGAATTATATAACGACATTTTTATAATTCTCTCTATAATTCTATCAATGATATTTCATGTTTTTCAATATTTCTACACTGTGAAAAAATTTTACAAATTCAAAACGTGCACATCGCCTGAAATAGTTTTCTTCGAATATATCAAAATCAATGTGATAAAGTTTTTTTGGAGATATATTTAAATATATCACCGGCAATATTTTTTAAACTAAATCATTTAACAATCGCAGTATTTACACCAACGGTAACAAAATCGTATGAAAAAACAATCTTTGTAAAAAGATGTGTCGGAGTTGGGGGATAAAAATTGTTTATATAAGTAACGTCTGAGTAACTTTTTCATGCTTAAGGCGGATTTCTACGGAGCGAATTATTTTGCGCGAAACGAATTTCTTCGCCGCGAAATTTCTGAGCATGCACACAAACATTTTTTTATCGTTAGCGAATTTTTTCAATTTACAAAATAGTTGAACTAGTTTCAATATTTTTTGTGGCATATTTATTCGATTGATGAAAAAACCAATCAAAACCTTTGAAATATGCAAATTCAGCAATCGTGCAAATTTAGCGCGTTGAATAACAACACATTGCATTTATTGTAAATGACAACAGTGACATCATCATGCAGTATTTTCAAGATAGAAATGTAAATAATGTAAATTTTGCGTCAAGGTAAGGAAGGAGGCGTGAACTTCCTGGTTAAATGCACTTTCTCGGTGCTTTGTTCTTGGGGCACCTAAACAACAAATTAAAAAAAAAATTATAGCAGCTTTATTAAATGCTTCTCAATAATAAGTTTCAATCACGGATAAAGATGTTATTAACAAACAAGTTAAAAACGAAAGAATTGAAAAAGATACTATTCTGCCAAACAAATTCTGACAAAATACCTTTCTCAAAGCTGTTCGCAATTTACCAAGTTTGTGATATGTAAATCATCCCACTTACAAAGACAGAAATGTGAAAATAAATTCATGGAAAAAACTTGCCTTGGCATTTAATAAAAAAGAAAATTTTCTACAGTAAAAAATAAAAAATCTAAAAAATACAATAAAGAAATGTCTTGATAAACGTAATCGTATGACGAGATTAGGAGCAACAAAAATATAACTTTTTTGATCAAGTAGCATCTTTGCATGAAAAAAGTGCGAACAAACCAAAGAAATTTAATGTAAATATGCAACATCTTTAAAATAATTATTTTTCTAATCCAAAAAGCGCGCCAACAGTTTCGCTAACTAAAATTAAAATTTTGACTCAACGAAAAACAGTGGGGTGCGACTCGGCAAAATTTGCATTAAATTCTTGTAATTGCTGACGCAAAGGCTTCTGGGATGTGTAGTACAGCCAGATTGTAAACATAAACAACGAAATACAAATTAAAAAATACAATATATACTTTTCTATCGCATGATACAGCTGATTTTTATATACTTTTTCTTTTAATTATTTTAAGTTGACAAACTATAGTATAGAATACTAAACCATGTCTGCTGGATTTTGCGCAGCTCCTAATTGTCATCATAAACGAGGAAAAAATGTTGATAAAAGTGTGTCGTTTTTTCGCTTTCCAAAAGACAAAAATAGGTTAGTATCTATTTTATTATTAATCAATATATATATATATATATATATATATATATATATATATATATATATATATATATATATATATATATATATATATATATATATACGTATATATATGTATATATATATATATATATATATATATATATATATATATATATATATATATATATACATATATATATACATATATATACATATATATATATGTATATATGTATATATATATATATATATATATATATATATATATATATATATATATATATATATATATATATATATATATATATATATATATATATATATATATGTATACATATATACATATATATATGTATATATATGTATATATATGTATATATATGTGTATATATATATATATATATATATATATATATAATTTTTATTTCAGATGTAAGCAGTGGGTTATCAATTGCCGTCGCAAAGATCTCGACAAGAAAACTTCATTAGAACTAAATAAATCATACGCTCTATGCAGTAAACATTTTGAGCCAACACAGTATTATCCAACAAATATTGGAGGCAAAAGAGCAATTTTAACAGCCATTCCGACCCTTTTTGATGTACCAAATCCTCCTCACAAAATTTCTATTAAAAGTAAAGCACCTTCAGAAAGATTTCTTCCTCAGTCACACAAAAAAAGTAAATCAATTTCTAATGAACAGTCTGTAAAGTTAGCAGTTGTTTCTAGTACAGACACTACCAACTCAGAAGATTTAAATATAAATGATAAAGCTAAAAAACAGATGTTAAATTTTCAAAAAGTAATTAACTTAAATCGTGTTAAAAATTATCGTTTAAACAAAAAACTATTGTTTTTAAAAACACAAAATAAAAAATGCAATGGATCTATTGAACATATTTGTGATCTTGCAAAGAAATACCTTTCTGAAAACCAGATTAAATTTTTTGAGAGTCAACTTAGAATGAACAAGCGAACAAAACATGGAAAAAGGTGGACAATACATGACAAACTAGTTTCTCTACGCATCTTGTATCATAGTCCACAGGCATTTCGTATTTTGAGGCAAATTTTTACTTTGCCAAGTAAGACAACTCTTCTTATTTTTTTGTCAAAAGCATTTGGAAACCTACAGCCTGGATTTTCTGCAAAAGTTTTTGCTTTACTCAAAATGCGAGTCAATTATATGAATGTCAATGAACGCAACTGTTGCCTTGTATTTGACGAGATGTCTCTCAAACAGCATGTAGACTATGAAAGAGATCTTGACCACATTATTGGTATTGATGAAGATGGGAAACCATTAAATCATGTTTTAGTTGTAATGGTTCGGGGTATTGCAATAAAGTGGAAGCAGCCAATTGCATATTTTTATAGCAACAACTCAGTTCAATCAGTTAAATTATCACAAATAATATTAGAAGCAATAGACAAACTGACTTCAATTGGACTACATGTACGAGCTGTTGTGTGTGACCAAAGTACTACAAATATTTCAGCTTTGAAGTTA